TTACATTATTGTATCTACGTTCCCGGCTGCCGGGCATATAGCCACAGCGTATAATATAAGCTTTACAAATTACTTTACCTACAAGATATATTACCAATGACTATATATATATGACTTATATTACCCAATTAAAGTACTGCTCAATGCTATAACTAATAAGTGTGAAAAAGGACTACAATGTAAATGGGTGTGCTCATCATACTTTTTGAGCATTTTTCCTTGGTGATTATCCAAAATATTGAATTTAAAAATGACTGTAATAAGAATGAATGCGTGGATAATTAATTAAATAAATAAAAATATCTCTCCCCAACCGAGGCGTATAATGTTGTTCAATTCGTGTAGGACGGTGACCAGGAGCTTAGGCATCGAATGACCTCTCGCCCGCGACCGGCGTGCAGCGGGCTGCGCCGCACCTATACGCTCACTCACAAAGTGCACCGTTCAGATTCTCTCATCCTGTAAAATTTACGAGCAGAGATCTATCAACAATTTGGACTCTCACGGTACAAATTTTTCTGTCCTCGCTTTCCGGTTGGTCATTAAAATTTGTCTCGCTATGAGGCATATCTGAGCTAATGCTAAGATTGTTGAGATACGTGCTACCGTTGAGTCTCTTCATTATCAGCGCTACGCGGACGGTTGCCATCCGGGCGGGATGCGTCATTGCGTCCGGAGAGCCGCACCAGGGAGAACGCCGTGTACTTTCCGGCAGGCATTCTACACGCAGGAGCGGTGGCACGCGCCAGGGCGGGTGATGGAGCGTTCGACACAGGCCCGCTAAGCTAACCGGGACAGAGAGAGCACGTTCCGGAGCGCAGTCCCAGCACCATGCCGGAAGTGGCGACTGCCGCCCGGCCAGCTCCTCACCGGCAGAACCCAGCCGTGTCAAGGGCGGCTGGACAAGGAGCCGGCTGAGTGGGAGGCGAGCCGCGAGGGCGCCGAGTACGCGGGGGAACGAGTCCAACGTGCCCGGGGCGGGCGGCGGCGGGCCGGGGACAGGACCAGATCGGCGAACGCCGGGACTCACAGACATCCAACGCGGACGGGCGGCTTCCGTAGGGACGAAGCTCAGGGACAAGGCTAGGGGACCAGTCAGGGGACAGCCCTCCCGCTCTCCGACTCCCGGCCCCCGTTTAGCGGCGCCAGTTTCAAGACATGGGACAGGGTAGTGGTCAGCCGCGCGCATGTGGTGCAGCGGGGCTCACAAGGCGCACGCGCAACGAGACACGCGTGAGCGCGTGTCTCGCCTATATCTTTTGGCGACTTATGTACACGCGACGCAGGAGACAGCAGCGTCGCGAGCCATGCGCAAGCAGAAGAGAATAGACTGCTGTGTCAGCCAGGAAGTGTGATCGAACATGCGGGTTACCAGAGACAGCCCGG